CCCGGACGTTACAATATTTTTGTCGGACATCCGTAAAAAAAAATTACCGTCAGAAAAATATTTCTGTCGGTAAGCTCACAAGCAAATCTGATTTCCCTGTCAGCCTATCCTTCACGGTATATGCCTGCCGGTCTCCTGACATAATTAATTTTTCTGACGGTTTTTCCGGTTTTCTTGATGGTTTTTTTGGCACACAGGAATAATATAGTTTCCAGCAGTGAGTTCGCAAGTTATAATGAAAAATGATGACGGCATGTAGCTCATCAATCGAGTCAATAAACTATGCAGACTACATGCACGCGTGCGTTTACAGCTAGCTTGCTGAGCTCGGCAACGGCTGCCGTATACGGCCCGTACCTGGTAAGCCGACGTGCCGGCGCCGAAGAGGAATGACGGCGGGAAGTCGCTGCGCCTGAGTCCGGTGACGGAGGAGCAGAGGAGGGGAAAGAGAAAGAGGAAGAGGAAGAAGAGACGCGCCATGACGGCGGGCAGCCGAGGGCGTGATTGGTGGCTCGTATATCTACCTGGTACAAGGTGTAGCATCAATATTTGTAGGCTGTGCGGACTACCGAGCCTGGCTGGTGGTGTGCATCGTGGGTTGGTAGGCTGTGCGGACTACCGAGCCTGGCTGGTGTTCTACGTTCCGAGCCTGACGCTGGTGTTGTGCAGCCTGCGTTGGTAGCTAGGCTGTGCGGACTAGAGAGCAGACGTACATACAGACTCCAATCACCATCTGTCAGGACCAAGCGGCGGCGGGCACTATTATTGTGTCAACACAACAGTTCAGCTAATTCGGGTATTAGGCCGCAGTGCCCCTTTTTACCCAAAATAGTAGAAGCCTATGTACTATATATGTGAATTGATTGATACTGCATTATCTAATATTAATTAATTTTGATGTCATTGGGACACATTTATCTTTGTTTTAGGGCTCGTGTTTTTTGTTCTAAAATACTACTAAGAGCTATTGTTTATATTGCCTTGACTTGCATCTATAGTTCTATCTCTTCTAAATATTTGTACGGTTTTGTTTATTTCGGGTAGTTAGGGAATACTTGAATCAAGACCTGAAATTTCAGTTACTAAAATGTCGGGTACTATTGTGTCAACACAAATTTAAAGTATCAATTTTGAAAACCCAAATCATATCTTACTATTATTAATTAGAAGTTCCAAGAGAGGCACCATATCACTAGACATGCACGCTAGGGAAAACATAAATTCTAGAAACTCTCGTGATAATCGGAAACATCTGGCCTTTAATTTGATAGAAAATTAAGAATGCCTGTCTCATCGGTTGCAATGGTGCTGCAGTGCTGCTGCAACCTGGCTGCATATATATACTCCGTACGAAGAAAATCTGTGTTGTGCAGCGTGGGTTGGTTGGCTGTGCAGACTACCGAGCCTGGCTGGTGTTGTGCAGCGTGCGTTGGTCGGCTGTGCAGACTAGAGAGCAGACGTACATAGGGTGTGATTGGTTACTTTGGTGATGGAGATATGGGATGGAGAGCTGGTCTAGGATGGTGAGATGCATGCTTAAACCGTACACGTGTTTGGTTGTTTTTGTTGTTGGTCCAGTATAAGATGAGATCTTGTTTAGTTGCATGCATGGATGAGAGTTTTAAGTGTATGACACATGGGCCCCTATACCATGGGTGCATCGCGCCATCCTACATCGTGAGAGAAGCGATGAAATCGAGAAGACAGAGCCGTGTGGGATGGCGGAGGGATAAGGAATGAAGCGGAGCAGGCAAATCGTGCGAGGCGGGGAACCAAACATGGCAGAGGAATGAGGTGAAACAGACAAAATGTGCTAAGGATGGCTTGGTTCGATCAGGCAACCAATCATCCCATACAGACTCCAATCACCATCTGTCAGGACCAAGCGGCGGCGGGCACTATTGTGTCATCAACACAATAGTTCAGCTAACTCGGGTATTAGGTCGTAGTACCCGTTTTACCCAAAATAGTAGAAGCCTATGTACTATATATATATATATATATATATATATATATATATATATATATATATATATATATATATGTGAATTGATTGATACTGCATTTTCTTATATTAATTAGTTGTGACATCATTGGGACACATTTATCTATGTTTTAGGGCTCGTGTTTTTTTGTTCTAAAATTCAACTAAGAGCTATTGTTTACATTGCTTTGACTTGCATTTATAGTTCTATCTCATCTAAATATTTTTACGGTTTTGTTGATTATGGGTAGTTTGGGAATACTTGAAGACCCGCAAAGTACAGTTATCGAGATGTCAGGTACTATTTTGTCAATACAAATTTCAAGTATCAAATTTGAAAAACCAAATCATATCTTACTATTATTAATTAGAGGATCCAACGGAGGCACCACGTCACCATACGCTAAACTCTAGAAACTCTCACAATAATCATCACAAACATCTAGTCTTTAATTTGATAGAAAATAACCCATCTCCGCCATTATAAAAAGATACACAAAGTAACCCCTAATCTTTCATCTAAATTACTAACAGTGCATTGGACCCTGTCCTGGTATTTTGTGTATTAATGACATCCAATTTAGGAACTAACATGTTTATTGAAGTATATTGCAGTTCTTATTTCCATGAATTAATTAAAAGATGATTTCGAGGAGTGGTACCCCCTCAATTCGTTAGTTGAAAAGTTTATGGACTCAAAGTGGTTTAAATTTATTTTATATTTTGAATTTGAGTTCAGAAAATGTCGCACTATAAAGAGGGTTGCAAATCATGTTGTTTTGAGGGAGATAGAGTGCTAAAGTACCTAATTAAAAGCTATTGAGAGACACTTGAACACAGCACGGGCACCTTGGCTGAGTTTTGAAAGTTGGCTACATCAGAAGTTCCGATAGGCCTCAAAAGTTTCGATGTATCTTTGTACTACCCAACCCAAGCGCCGTCGTAAAGAAGTTGCCTACTTCCGACCATTGGAAGTTCCAACGTGTGTCGGAAGTTTCAATGTTGCATGCGCACAGAAACAGTGGTAGGCGGAGCAGTAGAAGCAGGTGCAGGACACAGTCCTTGCTCCAGATAAGCACTCACGGTATTTCTTTATCCATGGTGATTCACCTATGAACTCTTCAGTAATTGACATCTCGATAATGTGTTAATCAGCCGTGTGTAACTTACAAGTGTTTCAGTTTTGGAATACCAAAATCTATAAAACGAAAGATGTGCAACAAGGAATGAGTATTTTTTATGAAATGGAATAGGGAGAAGAGCTGCTAATTATATTAAAAAGAAGATAAAACCTAGATTGGGCAAAATAAAAAACGATACAACTACGATCAGTTGGATTGGGCGCTATCAACACGCACCGAACTCAAACTCAAGAGGAGGAGGAAAACAACTCTGCTTAGTCGGAATGGGACATCGTCATCAGCCACATGGGCCGAAACTCAACACAGAACACACGCTCGACCGCCTCCGAACCACCACAAACCGGTCACCACACTGCACCGCCAACAACCGGATGACAGAGCCATCTAGACGAAAACACCGTTGTCACCGCTTGTGCCCACGTTACCGACGTTGTCCCACACCGAGGTAACCTGCTGCCGAGCAGGGCTAACCGCCATAGTCCGCTACAAGCCATGTAGCCATCCTGCAATCGGATCCACTTGTGTCGTCTAACAAGACGATGTTCCATGCAGGGCTAGCCGCCACAAACTGCTGCAAGCTGCCAAATCAAAGCATGAGCAGCTGCCTCTGGCGCTCGCCAAGACGATCCCATCCACCAAGATCCATGCACGCACATCATAGCTTCTAGAACCTAACTGGCTCATTGAAGGTAAAAGTGCCACACGCCCACACACGTCCTCCTACTGCCAGTCAGAATGCCTCCTTGCGCCAAAAACAGCCACCGCTAAGCGGGGTCGCCCGGTGCCACACCACACAGATCACCTCCGCAACGCAAATATGCTGGCCACCACTTTCCACATCTGTCTCATTGTCAACTCCGTGGGCGCCTCCCACCCGGGCCTCCTCGCCAGCTTCGTGTCTTGATTTACGCTATTTATTATAATTTATAACACTGAATGAGGACTTCGTCGAAAAAACGTTTGAGGAGATTTAGTGACTTGATCAGCAAAATAAATGAATTCATGTATTTTCAGTATCAACTGCCATATACAGAGGTATTGTATCATCGAGGATTTCCATTCTTCCAGGGACAATATGTACGTGTACTGGATTATGCAAGCAACTGCAGATTACTTTGATGTGTGCATTCAATTCTTACACTTTGCATCATTCGTGATTATGTCACATTGTCTCCGAAGCTGATTCCTTTGCATCATTTGTCTCCGAAGCTGATTCCTTTGCATCATTCATGAATGTCATATTGTCTCCGAAGCTGATTCCAATATGCACTACTGGATTCAGGTTCTTTGCCGAGTGCCTGAGGCACTCGGCAAAGGCCAAATTGCACTCGGCAAAGCCTTTGCCGAGTGTAGCACTCAGCAAAGAACACACGGCAAAAATTTGATCGGCAAAGCCCTCTTTACCGAGTGTCTTTTATCGGGTACTCGGCAAAGAAAAGCGGCCGTCACGGCGCCGGTCCCGTTGACGGTCTCTTTGCCGAGTGCCAACCCTGCAGGCACTCGGCAAAGATTTTTTATTTTTTTTAAAAAAAATTCTTTGCCGAGTGCCCCTAGCTGGCGCTCGGCAAAGTTTGAATATTTTTTTTTAAATTTCTTTGCCGAGTGCCCTCTGGCTGGCACTCGGCAAAGTTTGAATTTTTTTTTTTAAATTTCTTTGCCGAGTGCCCTCTGGCTGGCACTCGGCAAAGTTTGAATTTTTTTTAAAAAAAAATCTTTGCCGAGTGCCCTCTGGCTGGCACTCGGCAAAGTTTGATTTTTTTTTTTAATTTCTTTGCCGAGTGCCCTCTGGCTAGCACTCGGCAAAGTTTGAATTTTTTTAAAAAAAAATTATTTGCTCCCCAAATGCATCATCAGGATGAATCTGCATCAAAACATTAGCCATCAATTCCAAAGGCTACACCTAAGAGGCAAAATATAGTACACCATGAGAATGATTCGACCTGCTCATATAAGAAAAAGACAGCAGTGGAGAACTTTGAGATGCCCAACTCACGATAGCACCCGATAGCACCAGTGGCAGTCGGGTCAAGGTAAATAAGCACACACTCTGCAATTATAAAGGTTGGCAAGCTGATGACAACAGAAAATTATATCAAACACTTGAAAGCTTGGTTTATATTAAAAAGACATAGAAACTACATCATGCATGTATCCTAATTGATGGTGTCCCTATATTGTGTGGCATATTTTCTAGTTCAACATGTTTTCATATCAGAAGAGAAAAGAAGCTTACCTAGGATCCATTTCAGCCATGCGAATAACTGAGTCCAGTTTTGGTATGTCACGAATATCAGCAGAAAATAGCTTGTAATGCGTGCTTATTACTTCACCTTTTTCTGAAATAGATGGATAAGTTATTGCGCAGGCTACAGGCACATCAAGAAAAAGAAATGTCCAATTCTGTAACATGTAGTGGTCACTCTAACTTGCAATTCTACTTGAATCTGAAAGTAATATTTTGCAAAAGTTCATTATCCATTTTAAGTTTTGAAGTTCTCACAACGAGACAAAGAGAGTTTTCTTCCAAACAGGACGGAACGGCTACCTCTGAAACCAAACGAAAAAGAAACTTTTTCTGCTATGGTAACTAGTACTTTATGCTTCTCCAAGGACCATTTATTTGCTACTATAAATCAGTGGATACACATTAGTGAGAACTTGACAAAAGGTGACTTGAATTTTCTGTATGGAATATAAGACTTGACTACTACTGCTACTCAGTAAACAACACGTCTCCTTGTATGTGTTTAAACACAAATATCTGTGAGATACAACAGAAATAGGATAAGAGGCAGACATACAGTGAATAATTGACAAATAGATAGTTCTAAAAGGATATTTTAGTATAGTGCATGAAATTGTTTAGGAGTTTGGGTCAATCCAATTACAAATTGGAAGGACCCAACCTGCAAAAAGGGATGATACACAGAGAGATAGTTCAGTTGACAACGAATTGGTAACTGCAGCATACCTCTTGCTTACCTTTATACTTGATTTCTTACACAGAAAAATAAAAAATGGAACATTTCTATAGCACTGTATATCCCCTTGCCGCAAGGAGGGACTTTCACATCAAAATTGGAGTGACAAGCTACCCCAGTTCATGTGACGGAGCATTTATGAAGTAAATGATAGAGGACATACCAGGCAATAACAAAAGATCAACAGGGGAAGATGATGACAATACTGCAAGGATAAAAAGAGGATTAGAAGTAGTGAATACATGTAAAGTTAACCACCCCATGGATGCAGTAACTTATATACATTAGACAGGGCAGGTAGTGAATACATGAACTTAAACACCCCATCGATGCAGTAACTTATATATATAGATGTGGAGAAAGCTTTTTGCAGTAACATGGAAATGAAATTTCATACCATCTTCACGATCATTCCCGGTAGCATCCACAGGTGATGGTTCCAGAATGTTCATCGAATTCTTAACTAAATCATCCATGGTGGTGATTTTGAGCATCCGCATATTACTGTTCTTATCCTCCACTCGAGGAACATAAAGATCCTTTGCCAGTTCCTCTTGTCCTTAAGGAAAACCTAATTGTTAGTGACAGAATCAGTAACGAGCGTAACTACAGATGGACTCACCAGGATTCGATGATAGACACCCTTCTAGTATTTTTGATGTATCGACTTCTCGCAACTGCTGACAGCTTATATAAGCACACAACCGTTTGCTTGCTTTGAACCAAGCGGAATCTAAGATTGTAGTTTGAATAGCCAGATCTAGAAAAACAAGAAATTTTTTACCTCCAAATACTCAAATCAAACAACACAATGAAAACTTTGTCCCAGAAAGTAACAGTAATATAGTATAGACATCTCCATACTAGTTAAGGTCTCTAAAGTATAGTCCACTTAGTTGCACTAATGTAAAAGCAAAGTTAGAGCACAGCAATCTTTAATTTTGCTAGTGCCTGCCCTGACGCTTTCATTATCTTAATTGTAAATACACCATTTATCTGTAGTAAGGAATCAAATAGCATTTCGCATCAGGTTCTCAGACACGCCCCAATGTTACAGTCTCATGAAGTTGAAATAAAATGTAAAATCTACCGTGAAGTTACACAATTTTTTCACAACCCTTCTACTCCTAACTACTAAGCGTCCAGTCTGTGTCTTCGTAAAAAGCTAGCAAAGTAGCACGGGCAAAGCGCACTCCCTAGTTGGCAAATCGACGAACATGTGGTGACCAACACCCCCCAACAACCGCGTTACAGAACCGGAATCGAAGCAGACACACTCGAAGCAGGTCGCGAGGCATCACCTTCGCTGGCCGCGGCATCGGCGTTGGTGGCGTGCAAAGCCGGCGGGCTGCTCCGCGTGGCGGCGCTGCCTCCCCCACCTTCTGCCGAAGCTGACGCCTCCATCCGGCTGGGGCGCGGGGAGGGGCTGCGGCGGGCGGCGCGCGGCGTCGGCGGGGCCCGGTGGCTGGCGGGCGCGGCGCACGGGGAGTGGCTGGCGGGCGCGGGGACGGCCGGGAGCGGCGCGCGCGGGGGCTCTCTGTGTGGCTTGCACTGTGCTCGGGCGAACTCGCTTAAGTGCCCCCACCCGCCCCTTTCCGAGTGCCCCGATCCGGCCGTTGGCATAAAGAAGAAATTTCTAAAAAAAAATCAGAACCTTCTTTGCTGGGTGCCTTATCCTCTCTTTGCTGAGTGCCATGCCTCGGCACTTGGCAAAGTTTTTTAATTTTTTTTGTTTTTGGCCTTCAAATTTTTTGTGCAGCCTTTTTAAAGTACCAGGAACTCCTAATTAGAATTCGGAGATTTTTTTGTGGCTTTTTGATATATTTAGTTACTTTATTTTGTTTACTTAAATTTTTCGAAAAATATAAATTTGAACTGCCCATGGTACAAATAATGGAATTTAATGATTCAAAAAATGATAGTCATGTCAGTGAGTGTAGTGTGAGGCCGTATCCAGGAACGGACCCGAAATTTCGGACATCTTGTTCACGAAACATGACCGCGAACTTGCGTGCGAAGTGTTTTTAAATTCTATAAAAAGCAAACGAAGTCCGAAAATCATAAAACTTGTTGAGATGTCGTGATATCATATGTGGAGGCTATGATAAAAATTTCAGAAGATTTCGTGCACGTTGTCACGTACGATGCTTACAAACCAGGACATCTCTACATGTGATATCTGAAGCGCATTGTGGAGATGTCCTGATTTGTAAGCATCGTACGTGACAACGTGCACCAAACATTCTCAAATTTTTATCATAGCCTCCACATATGATATCACGACATCTCAACAAGTTTCATGATTTTCGGACTTTGTTTGCTTTTTATAGAATTTTAAAACACTTCACATGCAATTTCGCGGACATGTTTCGTGAACAAGATGTCCGAAATTTTGGGTCCGTTCCTGGATACGGCCTCTCACAACACTCACTAACATGACTATCAATTTTTGAATCATTAAACTCCATTATTCGTACCACGTGCAGTTCAAATTTCTATTTTTCGGAAAAATTCAAGTAAACGAAATAAAGTAACTAAATATATCAAAAAGCCACAAAAAAATCCTCAAATTGTAACTAGGAGTTCCTGGTGCTTTAAAAGGGCTGCACAAAAAAATTGGAGGCCAAAAACAAAAAAATAAAAAAAACTTTGCCGAGTGGCGGGGCATGGCACTCGGTAATGGGTGTCTTTGCCGAGTGCTAGGCATAAGGCACTCGGCAAAGAGTGTTTTAATTTTTTTTAAAAAAATTCATCTTTGCCGAGTGCATCCACAGGAGCACTCGGCAAAGAAATTATAAAAAAATTAAATCTTTGCCGAGTGTCGTGCCAGGGGCACTCTGCAAAGTATTTTTTTTAAAAAAAATTCTTTGTCGAGCGCCAGATCTGAGACACTCGGCAAAGAATTTAAAAAAATTAAATCTTTGCCGAGTGCTAGATCTGGGGCACTCGGCAAAGAAATTTTTTTTAAAAAAAAATCAAATCTTTGCCGAGTGCCTAACAGCAGGCACTCGGCAAAGAACGCCGTGACCGAACGCCGTTTCGCGGGCAGCCTATGCCGAGTGTAGAGATTTTGCCGAGAGTCTGGCACTCGGCAAAGAAGTCCTTTGCCGAGTGCCATTGTTTGCCGAGTGTCCGGCACTCGGCAAAGAACTTTTTGCCGAGTGCAATTCTTTGCCGAGTGCCCGATTTTTGACACTCGACAAAGAATTTTACACTCGGTAAAGTCTCTGTTTTCAGTAGTGATGGCACTGTGTTGTGATACTGACACCTAATACTGACACCTAATGCAGGAGCGATTGCTTGGATCTACCTAGGTGAGATTGTCACGAGAGATCGCATACACCGTACAAGAGACTCGATATTTGGTAACGAGATTCGACTGAAGCCTATGTCCTCGAGGCATGCTTGTAACACCCACGGTGTTACGCCGTAAATCACTTACTAAAACATGTCATAAGCATCATGTTTAAATGTTATTGCATGTGATAGTATGAACAAGTGAAGCAGTGTAATTTAAATGAACCGTAAAAACTTAAAACAAAAGGTTGTTCGCGACTTGAACCTATCAAGTTAGGATGTTCGTGAATTTTTATTGAATGAAAGCACTAGAGAACATGCATGAGAGGCCTAAATAAAGTTAGAAGTCTAAGGATTGTAGTTGACAGTGAAATACTTGGTGTAGAGAATTAATTGGGTTAAGTACAAATTTCAAAAGCTTGAAAATGCAACTAGAAATAGAAATCTAATTAAAACTTAGAAAATTTTCTTGAACTTTGAAAAGGGTAGACATTGCTTTGTTCATCAATTTTTGTAGAAAAGTTTAGTTAAGAAGTAGAGTATTGTCATGGCCTGTTTTAGTAGCCTAATGTACCCTCTAAAGTATGGTGAAGATGGTTTGGGAGTTTGACCAACCGGTTAGTTGTTTTGGACGCTTTAAAAAGCATGCATGGCACGTCCTTGGTCGGTTTCCTCGCATAGGCGTGGTCACCGCGTCCCTGAGCCACATCGTCGACGCGTCGGCCGCCCACGCGTGCGCCTGGCCGTGCTCAGCCGGCCGCTGTGGCCAATAGCCCTGGTGCGCAGCTGCCCCACCTCACTGCCATGCTACTACCCCGCCACTAGCTCCTAGCCATGCGCCGTCACGCCGTCATTGCCCTGCCCTAGCTCGCTGCACCGTGCTTTTGCCCGCCACGCCACAGCACGCTGTCGTCGCATCCGCCTGTGCCTCTGTGACGCTGCTTGTTCCGTCTTCGTGCATGTGGGCTTGCCGTGGTTACCCGCGTGTCCTTTTGCCATTAACGGTGTTATGGCAGCCCTGTCGTGCCGCCGCCGCCTGCGCGCGTGCACGTTTCCCTCCTGGCTGCGTTGGCTCATAGCGCCTACACACGTGCGACCACCTACGTCCCGCCAAAGCTCGGGCAAGACAGCCGGACCCATCCCCTTTTCCCCTCCCTCCTCTGCTGCCCGGGCTAGCCGAGCTGCGCCATCAATACGGCATGGAGGTGTCACGTCCATTCAATTCGATGCGCTCTCGACTCCACCTTCGAGCCTTCTAGCTGACCGACACTGCACCGCGTCCAACCACGTTGTGACAAGCTCCAATTTGGAGCCTTGCTCCCGCCGCCACGCCATTAAAGGCTAGGCCCGCCATTGCCGTGGGCAAAAACCCCACCTTGCCATCCCGAGCCGAATTGGCTGCACCCCCAGCCCCGCCTCAGAATCCTTCTCGACGTGCGTACCTAAGCCATGCCCTCACTGTTTCCCTCGTGGCCCTGACACAGCCGTGCCACCACGGCCCACCGTCGCCCTTGCCGCGCGCACATGGTCGGCTCGACTGGGGCGGTCTCCGGACGCACAACCAGTTCGGTTAGGATCACGGTGAGACCCTAATGCTCATCTGCTGTCCATATTTCCTCTCCGGTGGCGGAGCTCACTTGAACAGGTTGCCGCCATCGCAGGTAGGTCATCGCCTTAGAGGGAGCTCCTGGACATGACCCCGCTCATCCTTTCACCGCCCATCGATTCGCGTCTGCACCTAGGTGAGCATCGGTCCCTTAGTTAAGGTAGTGGAACTCCCGGGTGGCCGGCGGGATAGCCAGTGCCATTGGCCGCCGTGCTGGCGTGTGCGGCCAGGGCGAGGACCTCTCCGTTGTGAAGGAGAGAAGGAGCGGGGGTTTTGTTGCAAAGTCGTAGTCTGTTGAAATAGTGCACATAGTGTTAGTAGTATTATCGGAGAACGTGAGGGCATTTTTGCAAGTTGGTCGGCGCACACGCGGGCTCCCCCATCGTGGGCCATTTGTGCGCGTGGGCCGAGTTGGGCCACGCGGGATGGAATCATTTTCCTTTTAAGGATTAGAAATAGCTTATTATTTTATGTTGTAAGTAGAACTTTGGAAAAAGCATATCAATTCGAGTAGGTGTCCAAAAATTGTGAAACCAATTTTGTTAGGTTCATAAAATTGTGCTATATCTGTTA